GCCAGCGAGGGCAGCAGCGGGCACAGCAGCGGGGACGAGCCCGAGTCCACGGCCCCCTGGGGGCTGGGGGTGCTGACGGAGTCCGGGATAAAGGACACCCCACCCCCTCCCAGGTTCTCCTGGGCTGGATCCAATCGCAGCCCCCATGTCCACTCTCTGCAGGTCTGGAACTCGCTGGAAGAATTCACAACCATGGCCAGATCCAGAGCTCCAGACCAAGACGGCAGGGGTCACGCGGACTTGTCACCCCAGGGCTCCATGGGTGGGGTCCCCCTGCAGCCGGCACGAATTCCTGCTCTGCACTGCATTCCGAGGAGGAGCCTCCAGACCCCCACCATCTGTGTGTGTTTCCGTTGACGCTATCATCTGAGAAGGGCCAAGATGAGTCCTTGAAACAGGCCTTCCAAACATAAATAAGCAGCCTGTTTCAGTAAAACAAATTACGCACTTTTTGACATTTGCCAGTGTTTTGATTCCAGAAAGGCTGTGGGCCATTCCCACAGTCCTGGCCCCCACCCATGGCCCTGCCCCCCGCCTCCCGCCCCGGCTCACACTCACGCGTCTTCCCACAGCCTCCGGGGACCCGGCTCGCAGAGGAGGGCAGATGCTTGCCAGGCTCACCCCCAGCAGAAAACCCACCCCTGAAGGCACAGGCAAGGAGCCACAAATTAGGGACCCAGAGCACTTTTAAAGGACATTCTGAGTCACCTGCCTTGGGGCAGGCCAAGTTTTGTTTTCCTGAACTGTGGACCCCACTGGCCTCGTGGGAGCTAACATTTTACTGTAAGTCTAGCTTCCCCTCAATCCTCGGAGAGGAGTAAGGCCCTTACACCCCACGCACAGGTCAGCCTGGGACCCCCGCACCGGGGAGCTTTCAGGCTCCAGGGTCCAGCATCCCCACGCGCGGCCCCCACCCTAGGGCTTCCACACCCCACACGACCTAGTTGTGAGGAGATCGGTGGTTTCCCCCACATGAGGCTGTAGGGATGTGTCCTGGGCAGCAGGACCAGAGTCAGGTACCCTGTGCACCCCCAGGGGAAAGGCTGTGGTTCTGCCTCAGGGAAGGTGGCCCGCATGGTCATAGGGACCACATAGCGCTCTCACTGTGGACCCCTGGGACTCCCCAGCCTGGCCCTTCTGTAGGTCCTGGTCAGCCACCACCCGAGATGGTGGGTCCCACTGTGGGCAGGCCACGTGGGGAAGCTGGACCCGCGTGCTGACCTCAGGAATCAGCATGCCTTCCTGTCTTGGTCACTTGGTGGCCTGGGTCCCAAGAGCACTTGGGCCGTCCCTTGAGGGCAGACAGCCCCCAGATGCTCCTGTTAAAAAGTCCTTGTGGCTCATGGCCTAAGCGGAAGTCCCCTGCTTCTCACTCGAGGTGACCCACTTAGCAGTCAGCTCCCCTGTGCATTTCTGGGGACAAAAGCAGGATGTTGTGGCCAAGGCATGTGACGAGCAAGGCGGCGGAGCTCTGCACTAGTCCAGAAGCTTCTTGCACACGGATCCTGGTAATTCACTCCGCACACTGAAAAGCAGGGCGCCCAGAGTGTGAGAACTGCGTGAACTGGGGTGTCTGTGCCCCCTAGGAGAACCACTCCTCAGCGTGCTTTTCGCCCCATCCACACCCACACCCGCTTCCACCAACTGTCTCCCCACAGCCCGTCTGCCACCAACATCTCCAGGTGAAGGGTTCGGAGGGGTCTCAGCTGGTGTCCCCCTGCCTGCCCGCCCCAGGTTGTTTCTGCTGACCCAAGGTGGGTCCAGGTGGCCCTAAAGCTGCCCCTTCCCCCCACTCCTTCCCTGGCTCTGGCAGGGCCTCCCCCTGGAATCCCAGCTTCCAGAAGAATCTCTAGGTTCCTCTTCAGAGACTCCTGGCCTCCACGTCTAAGACCTGTGGGAGAGATGAGACCCCGGGACTTGCACACCACACCTGCTGGACCCCAGGCCAAAGGGCTTCCTTCTCCTTCTCCCCCTCAGGGGTGGCTCCTGTGGCTTATCCTTGGGGGGGAGCTGGAGGGGCCTTGGGTGGGAGTAGCTCTCGGCTCCTGGGGCAGGAGAGATACGGCCTGGCCATGTGTGCTCCAGGTTTGCCCTTCCCCAGCCCCTTCCCTCTGCCCCGGGCTTCCATCCCTGCTGTCAAAGGCCTCTCTTGCCCTCTTGTGGCAAAGTCCGCTCCAGTGGACTCTGTTGGGGGGGGGGGGACGGTGTGAGTGGTTCCGACCTCACACTGAGGCAGGAAACCTTAAGTATGATTCCTGTTGTGCGAGGGAAGAAGGAATCCGGTTAGTTATTTATTTTTTACAAAGATTTCTTTTTTTCTCTGAATGAAAGACTCAAACCTCTCCTGGGTCATTCCTGGTAAGGAACATAATGCAGGGGTTAATCAGCAAAGGCAGGAGGGGAGAGGGGAGGGGAGGAAGGAGGGGAGGAAAAGGGAGGGGGGACAGGGGAGGGGAGGGGAGAGGAAAGGAGGGAGGGGGAAGGGGGATGGGCCTGCCAGGTGTCCCGGTGACCAATTAAGACCAGGAGCCTGTGGCGGTTAAATATGTGTCAGCTTGCTGGGGCTAAGGGTGCCCACAGAGCTAGTAAAACATCCATTTCTGGGTGTGTCTGTGAGGAAGCTTCTAGAAGACATTAGCACTCGAATTGGTAGACAGAATAAAGAAGATCACCCTCCCCAAGGTGGTTGGGCCTCACCCAACACACTGAGGGCCCAGATAGAACAAAACGGAGGAAGAAGAGTGAACTCTCTCCCCCTTCCCGAGCTGGGACATCGGCCTTGTCCTGTGCTCAGACAATGGAGCTCTGGTTCTCGGGCCTTTGGACTTGGACTGACTACCACCACCCGCTTTCCTGGGCCTCCAGCTTGCAGACAGGGGTCCTGGGGCCTCAGGCCTCCACATCCCACTGAGCCAAACCCTGTAATCCACCTCCTCATAGATACCAATAGATGTTCTATTGTTCAGTTTCCCTGGAGACCCTGATCCTGATTCGAGCAAATCTGTTATAATAAAGGGCATTCTGAAACAACCAGGGCCCCATGCATGTGGACAGTGTACTTGATGATGTTATAGCATAATTAGTCCCTTTTTAGGTGAATTATTGATATTGTGGCTGTGTGAGAAAATGTGCTATTTCTCAGAGATACATATGGAAATATTTCAAATACAACAAGTTGATGTCATTGTCAAAGTCATTTACTCCAATATAGTACAGACAACACAAGAACAGGAGGGACACGGTAGGCGTGGTAGGAGGTGATGCGGTAGGCGTGTGATAGGTGATGCGGTAGGCGTGTGGTACGAGGTGATGCGGTAGGCATGGTAGGAGGTGATGCGGTAGGCATGTGATAGGTGATGCGGTAGGCGTGTGGTACAAGGTGATGAGGTAGGCATGTGATAGGTGATGCGGTAGGCGTGTGGTACGAGGTGATGCGGTAGGCATGTGATAGGTGATGCGGTAGGCGTGTGGTAAGAGGTGAAGCTGTAGGCGTGTGGTAGGAGGGACGCGGTAGGCGTGGTAGGAGGTGATGCGGTCAGCGTGTGGTAGGAGGTGATGTGGTAGGCGTGGCAAGAGGTGATGCGCTAGGCGTGTGATAGGAGGTGATGGGGTAGGCATGTGGTAGGCGTGTGGTAGGAGGGATGCGGTAGGCGTGGCAGGAGGTGATGCGGTAGGTGTGGTAGGAGGTGCCAGTGTTGAATCTGGGGGTGGCAGATGGCCCCACTTCACGCTTTCTGTTTCTGGGACTGAAAACTCATGACACACACTCTTAGGAATATGTTTCGGGATGGCTTTACTATGAGACATGAAAGAGCAAGAATCCGACCCCAGGCCCAAGGGCTGAAGGGTAGGTCCAGAGGACACAGGGTCCGTGCTGCTGGCCCCTCCTGGAGCAGAGCAGGACCTGGAGGTGACGGCGTGCGCTCTGCATGCCGAGGGACAGCCGGCAAACACACCGGGTCTAGACACCTCCAGCTCCAAGCGGCTTGAACAATAAAGACACTAACTGCATGCGAGGAGAAGCGTGCAGACCGGCGGTCCCAGAACAGAAGCCGTGGCGTGGACGTCTCCAGCACCCCGTCTTCCCTCACTGCCCGCCTCGGGGTCCCTTCGCTGCTGGGCACAGGCTGCGGCCCGCCCTCCCCCTGGGCAGGCGAGGGTGCACTCCAAGCCAGGAACTAGTGACTCCACTCACCCAAACGGTCCCCCTAGGGCAGGAGCCCCCAGGAGTCAAGCACCTCTAACAGAGTGCCCCGAGCGAGGAGCTCCTGGGGCAGGGGGGCGGTGCTGGGGAGGGAAGGGGTGGCAGCGAGGGGCAGGGAAGCAAGGCCCCTCCCACCGGACTGAGCTTCCTGAGGGGACCCCTGTCGCCTCCGCCGCAGAGCCTGACACGGGGAGGGAGGTGCAGACCTGGGCTGCACGGGGGTTGGGCACAGGACCTGCTCACCCGCGGACCCCAAGTCCCAGCTCCTCAAATTCAGCTTCCACCCCACCCCCTCCAATGTCCTGTGCCCCTCGGGCACAGGGGACGCCCTCGCACTGCGGTCTTCCACAGTGACACCCCCCCCCGTAGGAGACACCTTGTCTTCTCGGAAACTGCTCTGCCGGTCACCGGGCCTGGCGGGTCCCCCCGGCGCGGCCCCAGCCCCCAGGCCAGCCCCGCCCCCGGCCCTCTGGCTTCGCCTACAGACCCGGCCCCGCCCCACCCCGCGCAGCCCACAGGCCCCTCCCCCACGGCCAGCCCCGCCCCTGGCTCCGCCCCCAGGTCAGCTCCGCCCCCAGGCCCGGCCCCGGCCCGGCACCCGCCCGGCCTCCACCCGGCGCGGCTCACAAGAGAGTGAACGTCCGCGCTCCGGACGCGCCTGCCAGCACCTTCGGCCTGGTGGACGCCCAGCCTCGGAATGACGCAAGACGCATGGGTGGCGTTGCCGTGGCTTCAGGAGACGCGCTCCGGGGGGCGGGCGGGCGCTTCCGGGGCGGAGCGCGGTCGCCGGAAGTGCGTGGCCGCCCAGGGCCATGGCGGCGCTCGGCGTCTTCTTCCTGGTGCTGCTCCAAGCGGCGTCCTGGCCGCCGGCCTCGGCCTCGGGCGAGGAGTTCTGGCCCGGCCAGTCGGCGGCCGACATCCTGTCGGGGGCGGCGTCCCGCAGACGGTAAAAGGGCGTCCGCGCCTTGGGCGGGGCGCCCGCGGGGGGCACCTGTGGTCGGGGGGCGGGAATCCGGCGATCTGGCCCGGGGACGCCGGGGACGCGGCGGAGCCTCCGTAGGCCGCACCCCCGCGTCCGCGCGCTCCCGCCGGCGTTCCGGCCTGCGCGGCGAGCCGGGCTCAGCCTGGGCTGCTGCGGCCGGAGCCCCCAGGAAGGGCTGGCTGTGGGGTCAGCCTGGAGGGGCAGGCCCGGGGGCCCCTGTGAGGTGACGCGGGGCCTTGCCCTGGCTCGGAGGTGAGAAAGCTCAGCCTTGTCTGTCCGCACGGGGTCCTTCCGGCCGCATGCGGCTGGTGGATGTTCCCTAGACGAGTCTCAGGGACGGGGATCAGGTGTCTGCCGTGCAGCTGTTCCTGAGGGTTTGGCCCAGAGCAGACCCCGCACCAAGCGCTGACGTGTGGGGGATGGTAAACGGGTCCCCTCCTGCGTGTGTCGGCGGTCTGGCGGAGATGGGGGGCCCAGGCGGGTTTGTAGAGGCCGTCTGAGCTGGGGTAGCACAGCACGTTGAATGCAGAAGCGGGTATGAAAAGAAGAGTTACAGAAACTACAAACATTGCCATTCTTCTATTTTTGTTTAGAAAAGTTTACTTATTTTTCATTTACAAATGTTCAGAGTAATACCACGTAATGGCTTCTTATTGGTATTTTAAGTGAATTTTTACAGTGAACTACCAACCCCTGGAAAGCCCAGAGTCTGCACCATAAGCACCGGGGGGGAGGGGGGGGGCTCTTGCTGAAGAACCACTCTCCTGCCCCTCCCCGCCAGGTATCTCCTGTATGACGTCAACCCCCCAGAGGGCTTCAACCTCCGCAGGGATGTCTACATCCGCGTCGCCTCCCTCCTGAAGACACTGCTTAAGACTGAGGAGTGGGTGCTGGTGCTGCCTCCATGGGGCCGCCTCTATCACTGGCAGAGCCCTGACATTCACCAGGTCCGGATTCCGTGGGCCGACTTTTTTGACCTTCCGAGTCTCAACAGAAACATCCCGGTCATTGAGTACGAGCAGTTCATTGCAGGTGAGGCAGTGGTCGCGGCTGTCTATGTCAGCCCTGTCGTGGTGACACTTGATCGGTGTGGGAGCCCCGCTTCTGTTTCCCACTTCCAGCTCCCAGTGAACTGAATTGTGTGAGCCGTGGGCCCCCTTGCCTCTGAAATCTGGGGCAGCTGGTGAGCCAGCGGAGGGTGCTCGCAGCTGTGGTGGGAAGGCTGCTGGTGCAGAGGCCGGGCCTGCTCCCAGCAGGATGTGCTCTTGTGCAGAGAAGGCCTCATGTCTCCGAGGAAAGGCACCCTGCCCGTTTGGTGTCGACCTCACGATGCCTCACTCAGTGCTGGCCGAGACTCGTCATAGTGCATCCTGTTCCACTCAGTCCTGCTCCGTCTATTTAATTTTTTTAAAGAGAGAGAAGTTGAAGATTTTCTTAGAACAAGGGTGTTCAGAGTTTAACATTGCTTTCTTTAGAGGACATAAGCTTAAAAGGCAGTGACACACTTTTGCTGCCCCATCAGCCTGGAAGAGGGAGGTGCCGACGCGATGCTGAGCTCCGGCCGCGTGAGGATCCGCAGAGCTCAGGACTGCAGCTGCCACGTCTTCATTTTTCATGTTCTGCTCTCACTGCGCCTTAGTCCCTGTCACTTTGGGACGTTTCTGTGGCTGGGTCAGTCCCGTAAACACTGCAGGGATGGCACGATATAGGTATCTCCTGGTGTCTTCGTTCATGGGGAAGAAGCAAACTCTGAGACCTGTAGAAAACAGTCTTGGAATACATCCTTCTGTGACCCAAGACAAGAGGTGTCGCTGGGTGCTTGCTCTGATTTAGTCTGGGAATCAGCCTCAGCCTTGGTCTGAACCACGGGTCATGGAGCCTCCCAGAGAAACTGCCCTCACTTCCGTGCAGGTTTCCTGACAGGCGGACAGAAGGCCAGGACTGAGCCTCAGCCATGTCAGGTGGTGCTCAGTGGGGGACGCTGGGTGTGCTGGGTGGGGGCTGGTCCTCTCCTGCTCTCGAAGCGTCAAGCCTGTAGCCACCGGCAGGGGCAGTGGGGGCAGGAAGATGGGGCATCCTGGGTGACATGCTGCGGGGCAGGCGGGGCAGGCAGACCCGCTTTGCCTCCACCTGCCCAGCCATCCTCGACTTTACTCAGCTGTCTCCCCCTACAGAGGGGGAGAGGGAAGGGTGCCTGTCCCGGGACGGGCTTCCAGGACATGTGCAGCAGGGTGCCAGGCATCTCGCCGTCCCTGCGAGAAGGTCTCTGGAGCTCTGGAGCCAGGCCCCACCAGCAGTGCAGCCCCTGGGGGGGGGGGGGTTGTGGAAAAGACACCAGACTTGCACTTGATGCGGCTCTCTTGTGGCTGGGCTCTCTTAGAACGCGTCTTCGTCGAGCCCTGTGGACGTGGCCGGCAGGTTCTAGGTGGGGTGGGTGCAGCGGGTAGGGCGGACACAGACTCCTGGTCTCCCGGAGCTCCTGTGGGGAGCAGGGAGGCAGACACCAAGGGACAGAAGTGCCCAGGAGGGGAGGGGTGGCACGGAGAAAATGAGAGTGAGGAGGGGTACGGGCTGTGGCCAGGCGGGGATCCTGGGAGGCGCGGTTTGAACGGCCTCACGGGGGTCGGGGTGAGCCCTGAGGGGAGCAGTCCCCGTGAGGCTGGTCCGTGCAGGGAAGGGGGCATGGGCTTGCGGGGTGGCGGGGAAGACAGGGTGCGTGGGGCCTGTGACTGTCGTGAGGGGTGGGGGGCCGAGGGCCGGGCGGCTGCTGGGGGAGGTGGGAGCCCCAGCACCCCCAGGCCATCTGTCTGCCTTCAGGACCTCGTGCCCCGACGCCGCTTGTTCTGTCCTGGGTCTGCTTCCGTGCGCTCTCTGCAGTCCTGCAGGGAGGAGGGTGGCATCAAACGAAGTGATGAGTGCTCGGTGCCTGTGCATCCGCTTCTGGCTTCTGTCACACAGTCGCTCTTGACTTCTTCCAGAATCAGGCGGGCCCTTCATCGACCAGGTTTATGTCCTGCAGAGTTACGCGGAGGGCTGGAAAGAGGGGGCCTGGGAGGAGAAGGTGGACGAGCGGCCGTGCCTGGACCCGCTGCTGTACGCCCCGGACAAGCACCAGTACTACAGGTGCGGCCGCGGCCGGAGGGCGGGCGGCGGGCGGCGGGCCTCACTGAAGCGGCCACGGTGCGTTTGCACGTGGCGGTCTGGCTGCCCAGACGGGTTGCCATCAGAAGACCTCCCCGTGGAGGGGCTGTCCCCTCAGCAGCCCCCGTGGACAAAGCACCAGAATAATTGGGTTCTGGAGACTGTACTCTGGGAGCTCGTTGGAGGGCTGCGGCTGTTTCCGGGGCCGTTACTGTCCGAGCTCTAGCGCGGAGGCTCGTTTCTGTCCCGTCCTCGCCGCTGCCCGGCTCTGCCCTCACCACTGCCCAGGGTTCCCAGAGCAGCTCCATGGTCCCACCAAATCAGAGGAGATCGTGGTTTCTTTCCGAGTTCTCACGAGAACGTCACTACCTGGCGTCACGAGCAGTAGGTTTTCCCTGAGAGAAGTAGCTGCCTTGTCAAACGAGCCATGCGCCTGTGTGTCTGGGTTTACTTGTTGCGCGTGCGAAACAGACTAACGGAGGCGCTGGGGCTCTTGTTTTCCAGAGGATGGTTTTGGGGTTATGAAGAAACGAGAGCTTTAAACGTCTCCTGTTTGTCCGTGCAAGGATCCGCTTCCATCATGGCACCTGTACTGCTGAGAAACACGTCGGCGAGGTGAGTGCCCGGCAGGTCCGCTCGGTGACCGGCCAGTGAAGGAGCGTGTGCGGGCGCGCGTGCGTGCGTGCTGGCCTGGCATCGGAACCCTCCTTGCTGGGGCCTATGTGGGGGGCACGGGAGAGGTAGACCTCGTCCCCACCCCACACCTGGGCCACAGTGAGGCGGGACTGGGAGAGAGCAGGAGGCCACGTGTCTCTGGGGAGAGCCCGGGACGGGGACGTGGGGACAGAGATCGAGGAGGAGGCTGCATATGTCCCTGGGGAGAGCCCAGGTTTAGGGCGGCTGTCCCCATGCTCGGGGGTCTGTGCAGCGAGTGCAGCTTCACACGGAGCTGCTCAGCCACTGCCCGGCAGGAACTCATCGGCCCTGCTTTCTCGTCCCGCTGCTGGTGGGCGGAGGAGTCTGGTTCACACCTGGATAGCCCCGGGGCCCTGTCCGAGGTGATGGCGCTGCAGGTGTGTGGGGTCCTGGGGGCAGGAGGGCAGTGAGGGCACAGGCCAGACTGGAAGGGAGCGCCACCCTGATCTTCTTAGTTCACCTGCCTGGGTGATTGCCCAGGTATGGCTGAAGCGGGGTGAGGGCAGGCCCGCGAGGGTATTGAGGTGGCCCACCACAACCCCCAGCCCGTCCCGGGTCCCACATGCACTCACCTCTGCAGGTAGCCCTCATGCTCGGCCTCCTCGAAGCTGGACCTCGGAGTGGTCAGAGGGGCAGCTGTGACCTCCTGCCTGAGCCGTCCCGTCCCTGACGCCCCGTCCCACTCAGGACATGGGGACAGAGTAGGAGGCCGTGCGCCTCCCCCAGACTGGTGCCCCTCTATCCTCCTGGCCTGAATGGACGTGGCCCCTGCTGGGGTGTCCTCTCTGCATGCTCTGATGCTTCGGGCTATTTGATCGCCCCGGGAAGGGGCTTGTCTTGGCCCTCACTTTGCAGGGAAGGAGTTCTGTGCTCTCTGAAGGAGGTGCGAGCTTGAGCCTTGAGAAACGCAGACATGCTAAGTTCGTTCAGGTGATTGTTTGCAAATGGGATCGAGGTGTCCCTTCTGGTGTGGTTTTGCCCTTGAGCTGTGAGTCCACAAAGTCACAGATCTTCCAGAACTGGATCATGTCTGTGCTCTGGGAGCTCCATCTGGGGCTTTCTCCGTATGCTGCTAGGGCCATCTTACTCGTTTGCTTCATTTTGCCTATTTTCTTAATTGCATCAGTAGTCGCGGGGGCCTTGGTGACCCCAGCTCAGTGGCTGGGACAGAAGAGACCGCCCCACCGATGCTGAGAGTCCCTTAGGAACTGGCAGCCCCCCCTCGGGAGTGTGTGCGGAGACTGGCAGCCGCCTCCCCGAGGGGCCCCAGCACCGGGCCCACATGCCCCCGGGCGGCTCTCAGCTTCGTTCGCAATGTGCCCTGGAGCAGGCCGATAGGAGCACTTCAAAATTAAATGCTTTCTGTCTTGTTTGGAAACAGGTCGGTGATGTTGGACAGAGCCGAGAACCTCCTGCACGACCACTACGGGGGGAAGGAGTACTGGAACGTGAGTGCCCCTCCCCCGAGGTCCCCGCAGTGCTGCTCGGGGTGCATCTGTGAACGTCCGTTAGACGGCGCTTGCTGACCGCCAGCGTGGGGGGGGTGCAGCAGGGTGGGGGGAGCTGGGGGGTGGCGGGAACCACAGCTCTGCACTTGGGGGCAGCCCCAGGGCAGCAGCGCGGGCTCCACGTGGTTGGCATGTTTGCGTTTCAGGCGATAGGTTTGTTATTTATGGAAGCTGATTATTGAAAGAAAAAGAGTTTTTTACTTTCAAAAACCTGCAGTTTGTATCTTGTAAGCTCCAGCCCCATGCTGCTGGTTAGCGGTACGTTAGCCAGCTTGTCTGCGTCCCAGGGGCGAGCGCACATCTGGCGCTGTGGGTCAAGCAGGAGCCTGAGGAACGGGCCTCAAGCCCCCTCTGCAGCCGTCACTGCTTTGGGGGGTCTGCCCTGTCCGAGGGCCGTGGAGCTCCTGTGGGCAGCTGGGCTGGGCAGAGGTGAGGCATCTGTTGGGAGGACCCGGGAGACACCGCTGCTCCCTGGACACATGACCTGGGTGTCTCCTGAGTGGGTCATTCCCGAAGCACAGAGGGGCCTTGTCATCACCGCCCACGTGGTTCGCCGCCTCTCACCAGCACCATGGTCCCCCTGCCAGCTGGGAGGACGGTGACTCCCTCCTGCTACCCACGGGCTCTTAACCAGAGCTGGGTTCCTCCAGCAAGGGGCCATCCCAGCATCACAAGCTCCGCGTGTGGGGACGGTCCTCATAGATCGCTGCTCACCGTCTGGCCTCGTGCTGGTCGAGGACCCATCACTACCAGACTCTCAGGAGCCCATCCTCATCTGACGTCCGAGAGTGCCGGGTCGCGTCCTCGTCGGGGTGTCGGGCTGCTCTGGGGAGGTGGGCGGGGCTCCGGGCCACCTGCTTGGGGGGCGGGGCGGGGCGCTCAGCAACGCGGCTTTCTGCACCCCGCAGACCCGGCGGAGCATGGTGTTCGCCAAGCACCTGCGGGCCGTGGGAGACGAGTTCAGAAGCAAGTACCTGAACTCCACGGACGAGGCCGACAGGATCCCCTTCGAGGAGGACTGGACCAAGATGAAGGTAGCGCCCCCACTTGTTCTCACTCAAGGACGCGCATGCACCCCCCTCAGATGCAGACTCGCCAAGCCCGTCCCGGGGCAGCCGCGGACGCCCATCAGGAGGGTCCCCTTGTCCCCCCGCAAGCTCAGGGCGACAGCTCGGGTCCGTTTCCTCCTCGGCGAGCCAGGAGACCGTGGCGGGTTCCAGCGGCATCTGCCAATCTGAGAGTAAAAGGGCGGCAGACCTGGACTCTCTTGTTGGCGCTGTCTGCCCTGTGGCACGGGAGCTGCAGAAAGCTTCTTCTAAAGGGTTTGGTTTTCATATAACTTAATTTCAACTAAGAATACGCTGCTTTCCCCCGCGGGCATTGTTTCTCAGTGTTCCGGTACAATGGGGCGGCACAGCGATCCCCCGGGCGCTTGTCTGCTGGGCACCTTCCAGCGGTGCTGCGACATCCCAGCCCTGGTTTTTAGGGCATTCGGATAGCGTTTTCTGGGAAAATGCAGTTATGGGTGGTTTATTTTAATGTAACGTGCATGTTTTTTCCAGGGTTCTATTAACTTGAATTCACTCAGATAAAGGGTCTGTGTGATTAGCAAGTTCACGGTCTTAGAAAGACATCCGGCCCCCAGAGTCCCGAAGAGTCCCCGGGACAGGCCCGTGGGTGGGGTACTGCTGTGTGGGAGCCCGTGTGGGGGCCCATGTCCCCCGGCGTCCCGAGGGCCAGTGGCTCCCGGTCCTCCTTTGCCAGGTCACGCTGGGCTCCTCGCTGGGGGGCCCATACCTCGCAGTTCACCTGAGGAGAAAGGATTTCATCTGGGGCCACCGAGAGGACGTGCCCAGTCTGGATGGGGCCGTGAAGAAGATCCGCAGCCTCATGAAGACCCACCAGCTGGACAAGGTGTTCGTGGCCACGGACGCCATCGGGACGGGTAGGCGGCTCCGGCTCTGCCCCCATCTGCCCACCCGTCCCCCGACCCCTGTCACGTCCTGGGTGGGCCCAGGTGCACCTGTGAGCCCGCAGTGTGGCCGGGAGGCAGCACCGGATCCTGTGTCAGTGCCCCCGACCTTAGCCGCTGAGCCCGCGTGTCCCATGGACGGTGCTGGCTGCACGTACGCAGCCCCCGGTCATCGGCTCTCCTTCGCTTTGCAGAGCATGCGGAGCTGAGGAAGCTGTTGCCCGAGATGGTGAGGTTCGAGCCCACGTGGGAGGAGCTGGAGCTCTACAGGGACGGCGGTGTGGCCATCATCGACCAGTGGGTCTGCGCGCACGCCAGGTGCCTCTGCCGGCCAGCCGTGTACACCCCGCACCACTGCCCGCCGTCGGCTCTGCCGTTTTCTGTCCGCCTCCGTGGCGGTTGGTCCGCGTTGGCTGGGCTGACACGGAGCGGCGTTTCAACAGTCTGCTCCTCGCCTGTAGGCATATACTCCCCGGTACCGCCGTCAGACTTGGTCCGGGCTCCCCTTTCCGCCCCCGTGTCGGGGGAGGGACCCCACCCAGGGTCTCGCTCCCCTGGGCCTGGCGACAGCCTCCACCTCACGTGTCCCCGCAGAACATGCCCAGGGTCTCCTGAAAGCTGGTTAGCACGAGCTCTGTGTGCGTCATTGTCCCGCGAGGCACGCCTGCCCCAGAGGAGAGCAGGGGGACCAGGGCTGGGAGGAGGCCAGCACGCTTCAAGTGGGGTGGAAGCTAAGAGTAGAGTTGCCGGTTTCCCCGCCTCTGCAGGATCCCCAGAACCACTGGGCCCCGTGCGTGCAGGCTGTAGGGTGGCGGCCCTCTCCTCTGAGCATGCGGGGTGGGGGTGATCTCTCTGCCCTGGGATCTCAGCCTGGCTCTCAGCAACCGTCCCCCCCGAGCCCTAAACAGCTGGAATCCGGCAGCGTTCTCGAGTCACTGCTGTGCAGGACCTGCGGCCACTACCTCCCCTCCCCCCGCCTGGCTGCAGGGGTGCGGGGCGAGAGGTCAGGCAGGGGTCGGGCACTGGGCTCCTTCCAGCGGCTCTTGTGACCTCTGGTTTGCTTGTTAGGTTCTTCATCGGTACCTCGGTCTCTACATTTTCTTTCCGGATTCACGAGGAGAGAGAGATCCTCGGGCTCGACCCCCGGACAACGTACAACCGCTTCTGCGGGGACCGGGAGGTAGCATGTGAGCAGCCCACGCACTGGAGGGTCGCCTACTGAGCTGGCTGGCCCCTTGTGGGCCCCGCGCCCTGGACACCCTACACACAGACTCGTGGTCTTCTCTGGGCACACGTGTGGCCTCGGGGTCGCGCCTGCCCTGCTGGTGGGCAGGGCTGCCCCACCCTCGCTCTTTAGGGTCACAGTCGCAGCCCACGGCCACGTGAGCCACGGCATGTGTCCGTTCTCCGTGTTTCCCCCACCGTCGGCTGCCTGGGACTCTGGCTACGTGTCACGTGGGGTCAGCCTGGGCCTCCACTGCTGGCAAGGTCGGTGGGACATGAGGTGCGGGGCTCATTTCACTGGCCGGGTCTGGAGGGTGCCCGGCAGCGAGGGCCGTGCCCGTGGACCTGCTGTGGTTTCGGCCTGTTGGTACTGCTGCTTCTGCCCTTTGACCTGCGTGAGGCCCCCAACAAGTTGGCAGGAAGGCAAACCGCCGCCGCCTTGCAGAACTGGGGCTGAGGCCTGTGGGGGCCAGTGAAGTGCTCTCTCTCCTCCCCGGCTCAGATGCCGGAAGGTTCCCCAGCAGGTTTTCAGGCTTTGCCGTGTTCGCACGGAGAGGAGCCCCCGTGGCCAGCTGAGGTGCTGTGGGCTGGCCGCCGGTGAGCGCCGTGGCGCTCCTGGGCCCCGAGGCAGGTGGGGGCGGACCCCCTGGAGGGACTGAGCAGAGAAGGGGGCAGACAGCCTGGTCACGCGCCTGCCTCACAGTGGGCTGGGGGCCGAGGGGGCGAGGAGCACGGTCACTCCAGCCTCTGAAGGGTTTGGAGCGCGCTGCTGATCTCGGGGCTCATGTCACTGCCTGGAAACCCCTTCTGGGCCTCGGGCATGGCCATCACCCATCCCCTCTGACCGGGAACCCCAACTTCCCACAGACACCCCAGGGTGAGCCACCGAGGCCACGGCCCAAAGCCCGGGGGCTGCTTCTGTGTCTTCTTCCCGAGCTTTGAAAACCCACCCCAAACACGTGCTAGGGTCCTGTGGCATCCCTTACGGCTGTGCAGGGGAAACAGTGAAGTATTTATTCTTTGCCCATTTGTACCTTCAAATACTATTAATAAAATACATTTTCTAGAAAACTGGAATCCTAGAAACTTCACACCCTTGAATTTTTTTCCAGTTGAAAACTACGAACAGTCCAGACTGTGACCTTCATTTTCTGTTTCGAGGAAAACAATTGTTTCGTCCTACTCGGTGTGCCGTCTCCCTCAGGCCGTGGTGGCAGAGACGGGGAGAGCGCCATCTCCCGTCCGTCCGCTGCTCGGCTTTGCTGGGAAGAGCTGGGCACCTGGAGAGCTGTGGGTCAGGCACCGGGGAGGCCCGTCGTCCTGGGTCTGTTCTCGGGAAGGACCAGCCCGCATGCCCCATCCGTGTTAGCGGGCAGCACAGTGGTGGGGGGCGGGGGCGGCAGGCCTGGCGAGCAGCCCAGCCCAGCACCAGGAGGACAATTGCAGGGAGGGGCCGAGGGCATCTCCTGGGCCCCCGAGGCGGGTGGGCACGGGACCCCCTGGAGGGACTGAGCGGAGAAGGGGGCCGAAGGCCTGCAGGCTGGGGTCCAGGTGAGACGGTTGGGGGCCATCAGGGAGGGCGGGACTCCAGGGGGACTCGGCCGCTGCAGCACTTCATGGGGGGCTGGGGGGGCAGGCGGGGCCCTGGGCGGACTCTTCAGGTGGAAAGCCTGGCGCCTCAGTGGGTCCTGGCTGTGCCCCCAACAGGGCAGCTCGGCATCACGGGAGGGCCCCCGGGGGCTGCTCCACGGGGCAGCGGCCGGTGCGTAGCGAGGACTGCCGTTTGCAGACTCGTGTGCAGTTGTGCGTTCATGCCGGTCAGACATGAGAGAGGGGTGCCGGCAGACGTGACCCTCGTGATGATCAGTCCTCCTGCTCCGAAGCCCCGATGTGCCTCTGGAGGCCTGCGTTTCCGCAGATAACCTTCCTTCCAGCAGAAGGTGAATGAAAACCATCCTTTTGTTGAATGATGATTATTCATTTTCCTTTGCTTCCTGCGGGCTGTGGGCTCCTGTCAGGCAGGAGTGATTATGGGCCCTGGCTGTTTGTGCGGCGTCCGGTGGGGGGTGTCACCCACACGCAGGTCAGCCGAGGACAACGGGGGGGGGGGGGAGGTCCGGGGGAGGGCAAAGCTTACCGTCCCGGCCTCGAGCAGAGCCTCGAGCAGAAGGACCAGAAGGGCTCGAGGTTGGAGGCCCCCTGACCACTGGCACGTGGTGAGCACGTGGCAAGTACCTGCTGACTCAGTTCGGGGTGCATGGCCAGCTCCCGGGTGTCCCCCCACCCTTCTGTCCCACGTGCCTGGCGGCCGGGGCACTGGCTGCTGGGACCAGGTGCCCTTTGTGGTGCGCTGGGCAGGACGGGGCTCAGGCCTCGGAACGGAGCTCTGCTTCCAGCCCAACGGGATCCCCGCTGGCTCGGGAGGCGTGGGGCTGCCCTCTCTCTGAATCTCAGCCCCAGTTCTTTCCTCCAACAAGGGAGCCCCAGGGACACCGCCAGCCCCCCACTCCCACACACCTCCCAGCTTTCTTTGTGTGTTTACACAAGACCGTCCCCTTTGAGCAGGACTCAGCAGGAGGAAACGTGCGCTCGCGGGTGGTTTCCTGCAGCGCATCCAACTCACGGGCAGAGCCCTGGGCGCTAGGGGGTCGCCGAGGGCCCGAGGGGTGGTGGGTGGGGAGACCGCCACCTCCCTCCCTGCGCTGCTGGGTCCTGGGCGCCTCAGGTGGGGCAGGGCACTTGAAGAGGCTGCTGCTGGGCCTGGGGGTCTGGGCTGACATTGCCTCCAACCCCAGCCTGGAGATCTGGCAGCTTCCACGCACCACGGAGCCACCAACAGCCATGCCAGATGGGCTGGGGACGTGCGGTCCACTCTGAGGCCAAGGGCTGGGCAGTGAGCAAGAGCAGGGGGTCCAGGTGCCCTGGTGACCCCAGGCATGCCCCCCACCCTGGCCACAGCCCCTGTGGGCCACAGAACCTGACTCCTGGCGGCCTCAGGCCTGACTCCACATGCCCAGCTGCCTGACTGGGCACCCAGCTGACCTGCCACCCTGGACCTGGGGCCCTTCACACTTTGCCCCTTGGCGAACGTGGCAGGTGCCCCTTTTGTCATCCCTCTATCCCCCAGCAAGCCGGGCTGTCCATGGAAAGTGGCAGAACCGTGTGGGCCATGGAGTATGTCTCCATGCTTTCACCTTCTCCCCCATTTACAGATGGGGAAACTGGGGCCATTCAGGGCAAAATGATGGCCAAAGCCACTGTGGGAGCGGAAGCCCGAACCGGATCAGGGTCTCTGTGACCCCTCCTCCGTGTGGGTCTTGCCTCAGGGGCCAGGGAGGGGGTGACGGAGCGCCTGGGTGGGGTACTTCTTTGTGTGTCCCCCCCAGCCAACTCTCCTGAGGGGACCTCGCCCCCCACCCTCTGCCCCCCAGGCTGGGGCTCGGGCAATCGACCTGGGGAAACCCTGCACCCACAGGAGCATTCGGCCCTGGGCCCGGAGCCGCGGACATGGCGCCTCGCCAAGCCGGGCCCCCCTCAGACCCGGGCCCCAGGGCCCGCCAGCCTCCTGCACCACTGACCTCCGTGGGCAGGAGTCACCGTCCGTGTGCCCCTCATCCAGCTGCCTGGCGCGCTTGCTCTTTCCCCCTCTCGGCTCGGCCGGTGGAGACCGTCTCACCTTGGCTGCAGGGTCGCCGGCCCCAGCTGAAATCTCCTTAGAGCAAGACAAACTCAGTCATCGGAAGCTCCCCGGGGGGCAAAGCTCGTGGGTGTGCCCTGCAAAGTCCCTGCCATGGAGCGTTCCCGTCACAGGGTTTTCTGCCGCGGCACCCAGCAGTGAAGCCAGCAGCCCCCAGAAGGTCTACATGGTCTGAGCTGGACGCTGGCCGGGACAGCATCGGGCGACCTGAGTGCGGACAGAGCCCTGCGCCCCAGCCGCCGGCTCAGCAGGACCACAGAGCAGAGTGTCGCCAGGCCCCACGGCCGGGCACCCACCGCACCTCGCTGCCCAGCTCCTTCTGCTGGGGACATCATTCCCTCAGACACCTTATTCGGTGGGCCCCATTCCAAGCCTGAGCCCCAGGGAGGAACAGAGCGTGCCCTTGGCAGACGCAGCTCCGTGACACATGCACGTCCAAGGGCAGGTCACACCACGGGCCGCCACTGCAGGGCATGCAGACATGGCCACAAAGTGTGTTTTCAGCTTGCCAGTTTCCAGACCACTATAGACTCACACGCAGTCACAAGAAATAATAGTGCTCCCTTCAGTCGTGTCGCCACCGGTGAGCCCTGCTCGGCCTGAGCACCCACGGTGATGGGGCCACAGACCTGCCACCTGCACTGTGTGTGTCTGCACGTGTGTGTGCATGTGGGGGGATGAGCCCGTGCACGTGTGTGGGCACGTGTGCCCGTGCATGTCTTCACAAGTGTGCGCATGTGTGTGAGTCTCCACAGTCAAGACAGCCCCCTCCCATGACCCCTGTGCCACCCCCACCCACAGCTGGTGGCCACCCCTCTGTCCCTCTGGCTGCACTTTTGTCATCTCGAGAGTGTAACGTAAGTGAATTGTGCAGTCTGTAGGCTTTGGAGGTTGGCTTTCCTTCCTCAGCAATCTTGACCCCTTCGTGTTAGGGGTGTTATCATATAACTTAATTAGGGGAGTAGTGACCGAACGTTCCCGCTCACGCAGCTTCTGCGGGGACCAGTGTCTCTGGGTGGTGTGCGTGTTGATTCACACCGGGGCTACTGCATAAAACCAGCTTGTATTTCTACGCAGACAAGGTGCACCGTGTTCAGCCCGAGACGCCCTCTGGGCTGCAGGGTGACCCCTCGTTCACCCTCTTCTGCACCCTGCAACAGCATCCCCTCTGGGCACCCCAGCCCACACCCGTGACCCCGAGCCCCGGAGTGGGCCGCGGGCGGGGCTGGGCCTGGGATAACCTCTAGGAGCAGGCGTTCTGATGGAGCGGACACCCAAGAATGCCGTTAAACAGAATCGAGAG